TGTCCCTCGTCGCATTCCTTCTGGCCGCTCTGAGGAAGTCCATGGTGGCGTGTCGGGTGGATCGACCCGACGAGGTTATCCCCTCCGTTCATCACATGGAAATTCGGTTGGCCCACCGACGTTCAGCACATCGCTCATGTCACTTTCGATCGCTTCAATGGTTTTCTGGGTCTTCCCGTTGAGTTCGAGATCGAGATCCCGGGTCGGGTTCCCAGCGCTAGGTACTTCAGCTAGTTCGGTTGCTTCATTTTTTTCAAAGATTACACATGGGTTTTGCCTCACATCCTTTGTAAGTTCAGCTCTTTGGCGTGGAAAAAGGAAAGCTTTGGTTATTGGTGGGTTTGAATGTGTGAGTTAGAGGGAGGAAGAAGGTGACTTTCGTACTTCACTTCAGGAACTTGGGCTTGTAAAGAACGCACCTCAGTGGTTAGAAAATACAAGCTCTACTAGATTCTTATTGGCCTAACAGGATAATGCGTCAAATGACATTAGGCTGTGCATTATGCCATTATCCTTCAATGCTATTGCTTATATTAAAAAAATAAAGGTTTGGAATGTGTTCTAAAGGAGGAAGCTTGCACCGGTTTTGGTTTGAGGCATATGTCCATTATGTGCTTCATTGTGTTTTTTTTTCCCTCTTCCCGCTGTGTGTATAAAAGAGAAGGCTTCATTAATCAATTAATCAATTACACATGTCTGAGGACATTGTCCCCTAGTGCTTCGTTGCTTTTTGATAGCCACAGAATTAGCTTATCATGAATGTCTGGGCAGTATTAACATTACACATTGTCTTGCATAAATTCAAGAGTGTACTGATCAATGCCATTTACTGTTTCCCATCAGGAACTTGCTTTTGCACATTTCTAAATTGAATTGCAGTCTTTTTCTAATTTATGATTTCAACCATCATCAAAACTTGCAGTGTAAGTGTGTTTGGCGTGTCAGCAGATTCTATGCAGTGTTCTTATGATTCAAAGGAAACAGTGTGCCCACTATTCTCTTACTTATGCAGGAGCGTTTATACTCACAGGGAGGCCTAAAGGTACGAATTTCATAATAAATATTGGATATTCATAGCACTAAAATGTTTCAATTGCAAGCATTCAACATGAGATAAAGTATCTCTATTTGACTTCAATGATTTTTCAGCGGGAAGGAATATTTCGCATAAACCCAGAAAATAGTCAAGAAGAACATGTGAGAGACCAGTTGAATCGGGGGATTGTGCCGGATGACATTGATGTCCACTGTTTGGCGGGCTTAATTAAAGCCTGGTTTCGAGAGCTTCCTTCAGGAGTACTGGATGGACTTTCACCTGAACAGGTTCTTCAGTGCAACACAGAAGAAGAATCTGTTGAGCTCGTGAGACAGCTCAAACCAACTGAGGCTGCCTTGCTCAACTGGGCTATTGATCTCATGGCTGATGTTGTAGAGGAGGAAGAATTCAACAAAATGAATGCAAGAAATATTGCAATGGTCTTTGCTCCAAACATGACGCAGGTATGTTTGTGCACGTCCACCTTTGTCTTCCTAATCATAAAACACACTCCCCTCCTTCTACATACTAGCAGACTTGTGATTCTTCTCCTACATGCATGTTTGAACTACTATGAAGCATGAACACTTGGAAATCACCTGTTCTTAATTTGCCTGTTTGATTTTGACCATCTGTAACAGATGTCTGATCCATTAACTGCTCTGATGCACGCGGTCCAAGTGATGAACTTGCTGAAGACCTTGATAATGAAGACACTTAGAGAGCGTGAAGAAACAACAACAGGAGGATATTCACCCATGTCATTTCGTTCATCAGAGCGCCAGTCTGAGGATGGATATGACAGCCAGCAAGAAATGGAGACCAGCGGAGAATTAAGAGGAACAAAGTCAGATTATGATGAACATGCTCACTACAGCCACAGCAGCGAAGAGGAAGAAGGTGGTGCCGAATCTTTAAGTGACATAGAGGAATGCTTCTTGAAGCAGTTGGATGAGCACCCAAACGAATACTCAGAAGAACCTGCAGGAGATTTGCCGGAGGACTGTGCTAGCCCCATAAGTCGCTCTGGCTGTAACATAGGAACTGCAGTGTCATTTAGTGATACCAAAACCGAGGATTCTTGCTTGAGTTGCTCTCATGGTGAAAAATCAAGGACAACCAGACTGCCGGGGGATCAAAAGTTACAAACAGTCCATCACTAGGATGCACAGGCAGCAATGATGTGGAGATTATGGTTACATTTACAGGTTCTGTTTCACCTGTGCCAATGTTTACCTCCAATTAGAAACTTTAAATTTTTGTTTAGCAGTGTCTGAGGACCTTGTTTCAGATTTTGGCTTTACAAGCAGCAGGGCTTGCTTGTGTAAATTAATACAAGGGGGTAGGAAATGTCTGGTTGATGTGGATTGTGTGAAGGGTCGTGTTCAGTTCAGGGCTGAACCTGACTTCTGTATGTTCCAGTTCTCAAGTATTCTAACCATGACAGATTAAGATGAGATGGGGATAGGCTGCACTATTTAAGGGGTAGCAACGTCTTCATATTTGAGATAGGTGAAATCTGGGTTTCAGCCTGAGATGGATGTGCTATGTACGCTAGTATAATTATAATTTAATGGACTCCACTTCATGTTTAAGCATACCATGGTTAGAATTCGGGAATCATATACCATCCCTCCCTTTCTCCAAAGTAAATTTATCGTTTGGGGCATCCCCACTTTTATTCCCATTAAAAAGATCCTGTATTTTAATACAAGTCCAACCAAACCATAAGTCGTCATAGCTCCCTAATTTTCTTCTCAATAATCAAGCAGTGGCATGTGAGACCTACATGACTAGTAGGAACTGACTTGCTGTTTCAATCGTACCATCTGCGACTGGTAGGAACTAACTTGACTGAAACACGTAATTTCTTCCCATATTTTCTTTTTAATTGGCAGCGACAAATTCGACTCGATGCCTTACGAGAGAGCCGAAAAGGGAGAAAAGGATAAGGAGTTGGAAAGAAAAATAGAAATTACACACTATTCTTTCCCCTACTTCAATCCTTTGAACAGATCATCTATATTTCATTTGAACAATTTGAATAAAATATAGAGTAAAGTAGTAAATTTAACCACAAACTATTTTTCGACGAGTATCTAATAACATAAACTATCAAATGATGCAAAATAAATTACGAACTTTTAAAAACGGAACATCCAATAGTTTGCCGTTAACTTAAGCGAACGGACGTTATGTAAGGTCCACAATAATACGTGGCATGACACGGGCGCGACACGTCGGCATGGTAAAGGTGCAAATTTAGCTACGAACTATGTTTCTAGGAGCGATGGGTAGCCTTTACTATAAAAAATGGATCATCTAACATCCTCCTCTCAATTTTGATTAAACACCATTTATTTTTATACTTATGAGGCCCATGAAACATTAATCTCTCCAACCTTCTTACCTTCGTTCTCAATATAAACTCTAGAAGAAGAGGTTTAATGCGTTTTTATCTGAAGACATTCACAAGGACGATGCCAATGAAGTAGAAGCTTGATTTTACTATGTACGAGAAAAGCTTGATTTTAGTTTAATTTAATTATGAATATTTTTTCTACTTTGTTAGCATCGTCTTTGTGAATATCTTCAAATAAGAACTCTTTAAACCTTTTCTTCTCAAGTTGAGATTGAGAACGAAGGCAAGAAGATAGAGAGATTAATGCTTTGTGAGTCTCATCAATATGAAAATAAATGGGGTTTGGTCAAAATTGAGAGGAAGCTGTTAAATGATTCGCTTTTTTATAATAGAGGTTACCTAGCGCTCCTCGCAAAATAGTTCGTGACTAAATTTGCACATTTGTCATGCTGACGTGTCGCGCCCATATTGTGCCACGTGTCATTGTGGGTTTCACATAATGTCCGTTAGTTGAAATTAACGGTGGGCTACTGGATGCTCTATTTTTTAAAATTTATAATTTATTTTGCACCATTTAATAGTTTAGGCTATTAGATACTCCTCAAAAAATAATTTATAGCTAAATTTACACTTTTACCCTAAAATATATGTCACCTATGCAGAATTTAAAATATTAGCACGTTCTACTTTACTGGCTTGGGATACAAATTTCTAAAGTTGTACCTCCATTTAAGTTGGTGTCGGTGGGTGGTCGGACGCTCGGAGGTTGTAATTTCTGATGTGGAAACTCCTGGGGCCATTGAAGTGAACACACACAGAGTATTTATCTTTTTAAATGCTTAAATTATAAAATATAAAAACGTTAAATCAAAAAACAATCGACATACTTCCAAAATTATGTATGTTTAATAAAAAATTCATTATCAGATAGTGCGAGGTTTAAATTACAAATAAACCCTTTTAAGCTCAAAAAAGTCATTTCTTTAAATATATATATATATATATAATCTATTAGGCCAAACAATTTATCAAAATAAATCATATTCAAAACAAAGTCAAACACTAAATATAAATCCAAGCAGGATTTAAATTTTAGTTCATCACTTTGTAAGGGGCTGATCCTTCCATAAACTCAATCTCCATAAATTATATAGGGAGAATAATAAATAAGTCTAAGGGGATCAATTAATTTAAATTAAGTTTTAATCAATTTTAAAGTGTCAAACTTTAAGAATTTATAAGTTCAACTCTCAATTTTAAAATTCTGTTGTGATGAATTTGAAAATTGTATTTTAAATTTTAACAAGAAAAATAAATTTATTTATTCTTCAACTATGTTAAAATTTAAAAAATAAATTAAAAATTCATCACAACAAAGTTACAAAATTAAGAGCTAAACTTGCAAATCTTTAAAATTTGGCACTTTGAAATTGATTGTAACTTAATTTAAATTAATTTATCCCCTTGAGAACTATAGGTCATCCTCCCAATTATATAAAGGAAAAATTATATATAGGTCTCATAGAAATAATTTATTTAAAAATAAGTCTCGTACAATTTAAAAAATATAGCTAAGTTTTTTGGGACTTAAGTGTAATTCATAATTACAATTGAAAGACAACATTACCCTTGTTAAAATAATCAAATTGTTTCAGGAAAAAACTCAATCTCTCCCTCTCCCGTTATTACTCTGCCCTTGCCATCGCACATTGTTCGCTCATTATTGAAGGTGGAGTCACGAACCTCAAATGAGAGGAAGATGAACGGTGCGTGATGAACCTTGCAAGCAACAGAGGCGAAGGTGATGAAAGTGAAGGCAAGCGACGAATCTTGCAGAACAAGGACGAACTGATGAACGAGAAGAACAATAGCAATGAACAAAGTAGAACAGATGGACTAATGAAGGAGAAGAACAATAGCAACTGAGCAATCATGGATGGGAGAGAGTGAGCATAATGTTTAATTAAGTAGAGGGATATCTTTGTTATTGTAACCTAACAAGCATGGATAATATTGTATTTGCACGTAAATTGCAAATTACACTTAGATTTCAAAAAATTTAACTGTAATTTCAAAATTTTTTAAGACTTATCTTTAAATAAGTTGCTTTTATGGGATCTATGTGTCATTTTCCCTTATATCAATAGCTTTTTTTTTTTTTTAATTTTTGAAGGATAGTATAAATTTCGGGTGCGATTGAGTAAATCAGAGACATCTGAATTAAAAAAAATAAAAGAAACATCCTTAATCTTAATTTTTTCTTTTTGCTAAAGTTGTCTGGACAAGAAAAAAAATAATTAAAAATAAACTAAGCCAATAAAAAATAGTAAAAAACCTGTTTAACATATAATTGATAAAAAATCAACCAAATGAAAGAAGCCCAGGGCTGTTATTAATTATCTCCATCAAATATATACAGTTGGGTTGCATTTGTTCAGAAAATTTCATAAAATTGAGGGATCTTACCGATTACTCCCACAGATTCAATCCACCAAACGCCTTCTTGAAAGAGCCCATGAACCAATTATACAATACAAGCCACAAACACGTGTCAGATGATCGGGTGGAGTTTAAGATGCCAAGCAAGCTTCCCAGAAGAGTCTGTTCTTTTCCATCTCATCCACCTTCTCTGCACCTGAATCCACACGCACGCTTACCTTTTTCTGTTCTTGCATCTCACTATCTTCATCATCATCTTCTTCTTCACGTGTTGCTTCATGAACACAAACCTCCAACTCATCTTCATGTTCATCTTCTTTCTTCACTTCATCATTGAAGAGTTCGTCAGAACTGAGACTCTCAGATGCATCGTAGCAGCAAGACTGAGCATCATCATCGTCATCATAATCATCATCACATATGGGAATTCGACAAGCAATATTAGGATCCTTGATGGGGTCACTGGGGGCTTCAGAATCCCCTGTGGCTTCAAAACACAGGTAACAAGATACATCTACCGTGCCGTTCATGCCCATCTTGCACAAGACTTAGAAGTGAAAGGGAACGAGAACGATTATGCAGAGTTCTGCAGATTTTGTATGCACATAAAGTGCATCGTAAGGGGACGCTTTTAGCGAAAGAGACGAAGCTGTGTCGAAACGAGACTTTCCGTTGTTAAAAGGAGGAGATACGCCTCAAGATTGTTGTGGGCGTCTTCTAGAAGGATAATCATATGATTAGCTCATGCCATGCCCATTTGCGATACGGATTTTTACCCACCCTTCTAGAAGATCATCCATCCCCACCCATCAAACGGAACGAGTTATTTTACTATCTTGAGGGAAAAATACGGAGACAAACTTAGACACGCTGATGAATAGACGTGTGACAATAAATCAAATCTATCTTTACTTTTAAACCATGGAAAAAAGAATTTTTTTATTCCCGAAAAAAAAAATTAAAAAAGAATCAGCTAGTACAACCTTATCTCAACCAGGGAGTTTCAAGTAGCCGGTGAACTTCGTTTACGTCGTTACACATAAGGCGCCCACGAAATATTCTTACGTAGTTTTTTGACTTAAATTTTTTTATTGCTTGTGCACATGATACTTAATTACTTATGCCTATCCCACATTAAGTTGAGAGAATTTAATAGAGATCTAGACTAATTTAGATCGAGCATTGCAGGCCCTATCATAAGGCTCGAATTTAAGATCACTTACTAAGTTAAAACAATTCCTTACCAGTTTGATAGGCACTGGGTTGTTTTTTTTTTTTTTTACTTGAATTTATGAGTCACTTTTACAGCTGAAGCCTCCAATTCGAAGAGGCCAAAAAGTCCGATAAGCCAAAACTTCAAGTAATGAATAATGACGAAAGCCAATAAAACAAAATACAGAGAACACGTTAAGGGCATGTCTTGGACAAGTATGCGCCCACATATAATTGAGCAGAGAGTCGGTAAATTGTAAGAAGCAAATTGATGGGATAAGAAATGGGCCCACCATAACGCCGGTGGGGGCCCCTATATTCTTCACAAATATTTGGTTTTGTGATAATAATACTAACCGCACGCCTCACTTTTTTGCTCCCAAAAAAAAAAAAAAAACAGCACGCCTTACTTTTGTTAGTGGCAGGCTTCATTTCTGAATGTGTGGGATTGCCAATTGCATAAACCTAACTTTTTTGAAACAAGTTACTTATGATTATGATGTTAGAATGTGTAGTGTTCTTTCTCAAAAAGAAATTATATTAATGGCTTATATTCTATTATAAAGATGCAAAATTGCAGTAATACATCTGATCTCACGATGAATTGTAACCTTTGTTTGGCCGAATAATGATGAACTGTGTCGACCAAAACAGAATAATGATGAATTGTGGTCAGCGCTTGGCCAACGAAACCTTAGGCCTCACGTGACCCGTCCAACGGAACATTAGGGTGCCAATAGGCCATTTGACAAAACATTGAAACCTCGACCTCCTTTTAACTAAAAGCGAAATTCCAACTCAACCCTGGGTCGTGTATTGTGAAAAGTTCAATTTTCTTTTTGAACATTTAGAAATCTATTCGTAAAATTTCAACTTTTTACATAGGGATGATAATAGGATGGCTAGTCACCTTGCTAAGTTAAGCCATAAATTATTCAATAACTTTAGTATTTTTGATACCCCACCCTTTAACTGATTAAGGGTGGTTGGTTTGTTTTTCTTTTTGTTTGTTTTAACTTCTGTATTTGTTTTCACATTCTGTTGAATGAGTATTTCATGTTCATATTAAAAAAAAAAATCTATTCGTAAGATATTTTAACATTAAGCTATGACACTTCAACATCCACGCTTTTTCACTCGTCCTCTACCACGTGAAAGTTAGGCTTTCCTGATATGCTTAAACCATGGGAATCACGTTTTTTTGTCGTAAATGTAATACCCCGGACTAGCTTCAACCCAATGCCTTGAACGAAAATACATATATTTCTTTAAAAAAAAACAAATTATATTGGAAAAATATAGCTCAAGACAAATGAAATTCAGAGTTACGACTTATGTCAATGATTTATAAAATAATAATATTTACTGATTACTCATCTTGTACAAAAATATGAAAAATAAATTACCCTATTATTATCATTTATGCTGTGAACATACACTTGACTAAAATTTCTATATATTAATATATTGACATTGATGATCAGGACTACACCGAACAGTCTTGAACCACATTACTAATCACAAAAATCCAATGTCCACTAAACCCACTTGCAAGAAAGTATCCTTCCCTCTCCCATGATCCTGCTGAGAAATAATTGCTCGCGTCAATCTGACCAAGAAAAATGGTCCCAGGCTCATTGCATCAATTGAGACCACGCAGAGGCTAAAACGTTCAACAGGTGGCACTAGCAGAAGCAAGTAAGTGGATAACAATTTCTCACAACTACATGTAAGCAATGAGAAAGGAAACAGCAAAACTGTAATATAAATTCAAAAACTAACTATTCGGTGGCTGAACCATTGGTGCCAAAGAAAGAAGTGCCATCCTTTTTCATGGTTGGAACCATGCAACTTAAAAATACAATAAATAGGCGTGGAGGGAAAAATCAATCAATTAATAATCAATGTCTAAATGAACTTTCATGTTACAGAAATTACAAATCGTATAAACATCAGATGGATCATGAATTACAATGTGGATTCTACAATGTTTTGCTTCAGTAGGGCTTATTCTGCTTGTTGTCCCTCTTAAGTTGAACCTTTAATTTCTTACCACTTAATTGGAATCCATTCATCATATTTATGGCGCCTTGAGCAGCGTCTGGAGAGTCATAACTTACAAACCCTGTAAATTGTAGTACATAAGACACCAAAATCTCCGTGCAAACAAATTCATTAATAAACCGTACTGGGCTTACCAAAACATTTGCTTACACCAGTTGCTTTATCAACAAACACTTTAGCACTCAAAACCCTACCAAACGGTTGAAACGCATTTGCCAGCTCTTGATCTCCATATTCAGGAGGTATGTGATAAATAAAGAGATTAGCCCCAGGTGGTCCTGAGTCCGAGAAAGACAACGAAACAATGGACAGACTTGTCACCAAGTAAATATTCAAGTCTTTTCAGAAATAAAGAATATAACGGAAGAACGTAGGTGGTAGATGCATAAACACAGAGACAACAGACCTTCAACCTGACTACTGGAATTTTTATTGGCACCTGAAGATGTAGCAGAGTTGCTACTCCCACCTGCAGGTGAAACTGAACCAGGAGAGCTGCTCACAGGCCTAGGACTTACCACTCCTCCAGGATATGCCATTGGATGCTGCATACCTGGAACTGCAGGATAAGAGCCATAATAACTTCCAGAAGGCACGGGATAATTTCTAGGGTTCATATTTAGACCAAGTTCAGGTCCCAATGCATTTCCTTGGTTTATGTGAGGCATCATATTATGGAAACCAGGTTGATTCTGCAATGGTGGCAAGCGGTAAGGCATGAGCCCATAACCCCCAGGAGCCTATCAAGAGAAAGTTATCAGTCAAAAACATGACCACTTGAAGATAACAAACTGATGAAGGTAAAGATTTATGACAGGATGATGTGATAATGCTAAAGAAAAATTGCCTTGAAGTGTCATTAAGGGTAAACATTGCATTACAGAAGATGTATATAATTTACCTGATAGCCATATCCATTATATTGTGGAACATAGCCCATTGGCAAGGCTCCAAACAATGACTGATGCTGAGAATCGTTATGTGGCACATTAGAAGCTTGGGACTGTGCTTTCTGAGCCCTCCGCGCTTGTCTTTCCTTTTCTGTATCTGCCCATTTGACCACCAAAGGAACACTTGAACCCTATAGAAGGATAATCAGATAGCAATTTAATGGATTAACCTAAATGTCAATTTATCAACATTATTGGCAATTATAATATGCATCAGTTCATCTCAACAGACAACAACAACAACAAGCCTTTATCCCACTAGGTGGGGTCGGCTACATGGATTGCAAGACGCCATTGTGCTCTATCATTTATTAAGCTTTTAGAAATATTATTAATTAAGAGATCACGTTCAACAACTTCCAAGAGTGTTCTCTTAGGCCTTCCTCTACCTCTCTTAATCGGACTCAAAGTTATATGTTCCACTCTTCTCACTGGTGCCTCCCTTGGTCTTCTTTGTACATGCCCAAACCATCTCAACCGATTTTCTACCATTTTTTCCTCAATAGGTGCCACCCTCACTTTTTCACGTATGTGCTCATTTCGAATTTTATCTTTACGTGTATGTCCGCACATCCATCGTAACATTCTCATCTCTGCTACTCCAACTTTATGCTCTTGCTGTCCCGTTAGAGCCCAGCATTCACTACTATATAACATTGCCGGTCTGATAGCAGTACGATAAAACTTTCCTTTAAGTTCATCTCAACAGAAATAGATCAATTATATATGCATATATTGTATAAAGAAAAGGGCATGAGGATGCAGTCCAGTGTTTGGTCAATCACTTTATTTGACTATTGACGGCTAGAAGGAGATGTAATTCAAAGTAAATCCATGATCCAATAGATTGTGTATGACAGAGATGTGCGTATAACTCCACAATAGGTTCGTTTTTTCACATTCACAGATGTTTATGCCAGTGCCAAGTGTATTCTTGCGTAGTAACCCCAAGCTCAAGTTTTGTTCAACTTGGGCCCACTTAATGCAAACAGTAAAATAAGGCTCACGGGCCAGAGTAATTTCTTGCCCAGACTTGGGTTCGATTTGAGTCTATCATATAAATAATGAGTCAGGCTCGAACATGAAAAATCATCTTGCATATATTAGTTAAGGACACAAAGCTAGGTTTAAATTTCCAAATTCAGACAAGGTCTACAATTAGAATAATATACTAAGTATTTGCGCTTCTGCAATTACATTCAACACACAAGATTGAATGTTGATGTCCCTCACCAACAGGATTTTGTGGCTGAATGCCGCTTGAAGGTCCAAAATGCTGCAAGCACAATTTACAACTAAAATTGTAATTGTGTTTAAAAGCAGGCTCTCTCCATTCTATTACACATGCACACAGCTAAAAATTTTATGAATCAACACCAATGAATAATGTGCAAGGACAAAGAAGTTTGCCATGTGTGTTTGTCAGTAGTGTAGTTTAAATCCACGTCTTACTCACCAAAAAGAAAATAAAAACATGCCTTTGCACCCATCTTGCCAGTAAAATTGGATACCACTATTAGAGTTTGTTTGGTTCAGTAGATGGGAG